TGCGCCAGACAGCTGTATAGCCTGCCTCATGCCCCTNCCACGCCCGCAGCACCCGCCTGCAAAAGCATGCCTCTTAAAGCTGGCTGTGGGCAGCAAGCTGCGACAGTCTGCCCCCAGCTTGCCCCCAGCTACAGTGCCTGCCAGCCAAAGGTGGCAGTGAGCAGCTGGCTGGAACAGCCTGCCCCAGCCCCCTGCCAGCCTCTCACCATCGTGTAAGGACGGCCGGAGGCTGAGGGCGCAAACAAGGCAGTTCATCATGGGCTCCACATGCCGGTGTTTGCAAATGCACCGTTGTGCAATCCCACACCAGCGTTCAAACACATGCGCCGCTGCAGCCAGGTCCTCATCACCCAGCGGCAGGTCGCGGCCGTAGTCAGGCTGCAGCGAAGTGGCCATCAGGTGGTGGATTTGCACGTAGGCTGCACTTGGGGTTCAAGAAGGGCAGCACACGGGAGTGTCAGCCAACTGTGAGACAGTAGCCGCCCTTGCTTGGGGCTGAGATGGACATAAGAGCCCCACAGCACACATGGAAGCAGCAGCTGTACACTTGGCATCTGCACAGAAATGACCGCAGTGCGACAGTAGCAGGTAGAAGTGGTGGGCGGGCCAGGGCGCCACAAGATGCAATGCTCTTACCGTGCGCCCCCACGCCGTTGAGCAGTTGCAGCAAGCGGAACTGCCTGACAAGCTCCACATCAAGCAGCTTGGTGTTATTGACTGGCGCAGTCGGCACACAGCTGATCTGGAGAGGGTGCACGGTGATATTGGGGCGTCCATGCGTCTTGCACTCCCATACCGGCAACGTGAGCCTGCCCACCACGCCGAGCGGCCCATAAAACACAGCTGCCTGGCTGCCCGTCTTGTGCAACTCACAGCAGCTGCCATTTTCTGCTGCTAAGTGGCAAGGAAGCGGCTCCATGCTGGCCAGCTGGGCTTGCCGCTGCTGGAGCTGCTGCTGGCGCTCCTGCCGCTGCTGCGCCGCCCGGCCCGGCAGAGAGGCCAAGAAGGCATCCACGTCCGCTCCGAGCCGAGCCTCCCAGTGATCACGTTTGCGTCCTTGCCGGTCGCCCCAGCCTAAGAAGCCGCTGGGTGCTCGCTCATCCTCGTTGTCATCCCTCTCACCCCGCCGCCTGGCCTGCCCTGGCACATTGAAGGGAGCTTGTTGTCCTGGTCTACTTGCACGGGATCTTTTTGGCTGTGGCCCGTCTAGAGGCCTGGGGGCCGTGGTCTTGCTAACCACCTTCACCCTAAAGTGGTGGCTCATGTCCTAGAAAGCATATTACGGTTGCTGGGATGCCAACAGAACAAACGGGAGGGAGAATGATGCATGATTGAGGATGATGTCCCCAATGACCCTCCAGGTGGGGGGCCATCATGCCCATCATGGGGCACATCCTTACCGGGAGGCCTACCTGCATCAGGGGGCAACACATCCAGCGCGCCACGAGGACATTCGCGCTGCCCCGCTCATTCCACTATTTTCAAGGCAAATGCAACTAATTTCAGGCCAACTGGGACCCCTAGTTGAGAAGCACCCACTGCAGAACCCCTCCGAAGCTACCTGAAATTCCAAACTCTAGAATGGCGCCAAAACGCGTGCGTTTCGCTGTTGAGGAGCCAGTGGAGGACCGTGACTCTGTTTTAAAACGCGCGTTTATACTGCCGCGCAAGCTTACACTGGCAGTGCACAGCCACAGGTGGGGCTCTCCACAAATGTTGCATGGCACTCTTGCGGCCCGACCCTCCTGCTCCTGCTGCCCAATGGTTGCGACAGGCCTGCTGCACCGTCAGCCCGCCCTTGGACTCGGGCCATTAGCGGCGGCGCGGCGGCGGCGGCCGCTGGGCGGCCGCCAAGGGGAAGGTGGCGCAGCGGGAAGACTGCTGCGCCCCACTAAACTGCTCCGCCATTGGCTCTGCAGAATGTCATCAGAGGAACAGATCGCGCAGGTGTTGCAGGAGAACGCAACCATGCGCCAACAACTGCTAATTTGCCAGGCCAGGGTGCGAGAACAGAACATGCAGCTGCGCATTCGGGATGGTAACATAGAAGATCTGCAGAGCCGTCTACAGCAGGTGCAGCGGCACTATGACGACCTGCGGCAGCACGACGACTACCTGGCGCAGAAGAAGCGCAAGCGCGACGACGACGCAGCTGCGGCGGCGACAAAGGAGGTGCAGGAGCTGGTGAACCGCGTGCAGGATGTGGAGCAGCAGCTTGCAGCCTGCAGAGCAGACCTTGCTCAGCGCCGCCTCTCAGGCGCCGGCTCCGCTGAACCACGCCAGCAGCAGCAGCAGCAGGCGGGCGGCGGCGGGGCGCAGCCGCCGGGTGAGTGTCGAGGGTTTCCTCTTGTGGGGGTGAGCTACATTGAAACCTGGCGCAGAGTTTCTTGTTTTTTTGTGGAGTTTCTTATTACGTTGCAGGCTTGTCCTTATGTGCAGTTGCCGCTGCGCAGCCAGCTGCCGAGGGTGGCGGCGGCCATGCGCAGGGGTCGGGCGTAGGTGAGGGCCTGGGCCAAATGATTGAGGGCTGCCTCGCTAGCGCTGCTGATGGTGATTCGCTGCTGATGGCAGATTTGTAGAGTGAATGTTACTATTGTTATGTATGGACGTCTGGTTTTGAAGGCTCGACCTCTCCCTGTTTGCAGCCGCCGCTGGAGCGCCGCCAGCTGCGGGGTCGGGCAGCGGCGGCGCAGGGCCACCTGGTTCGGGTGAGAGACCTGCTTCGAAGCTCTTCCGCTGGTGTGGTGTGCTTGCAATGCAGTAGCGCGTGAGATGGCCGGTTTGGCTGCTACGCACGGCAGCCACACAATGCCCCTGCTCTTTCTGCCCCTTGCAAATGCAGACACGGTTGAAGGCGCCGCCGCGCTGGCGGCCATGCAAAATGCCCCGCACGATGGCGCGCCTGCGGCACCGAACCCGCAGGAGCCCTCGCTCAAGCCCCCATCGTCCTCGTAACTGTCGCTCTAGGTTTCCCGCTCCGCACATGTGTTGCAAAGTCTGCTGTTGAATCGCCGGATACCCCACCTCCTCGCTTCACCAATTCCTGCCTGTTGGGCGGCGCCGCCATCTGCTGAATGCATAGTGTAATTGTCAAGTTTTGCAGTTGGAAGCCAGTCTGCGGTACGTGCAAGTGCTGGGATTGTGCAGTTGGGGCCTCTTACTGGGGTTGGTTTGTATCGTATCACCAACCATTTGTACTCATTGAAAAACATAGACACAGCCAAATTGGAGGGCAGCAGTCCGCCGCCCCCGTCGCCAGCGCTACTCGTGCTCCCGGTCGTGTGGCTCGCAGTGATGCACGCTAATGCACACTGAGGTGGCGGAGGGTGAGGCAGGGCTCCAGTCAGGGCTGGCGCTGCCGCCGCCAGCGGCCATGGCGGCAGCCCCGACCCTTGTCGGCGTTGCTGCGCTGCAACGCCAAAGATGCTG